GGAGGGGGACGGGCCTGGGCAGTTAGCGCCCGCCGCCCTTCAGAAGTCCCTGCGGATGTAGTGGTGGCAGACTCTCCGGTGCGGTGCTTGCTGCCCCAGCTGGGTACCTCTCGGGTGTCCCTGCTTTGCTTTGGGTTGTCTCGTCTTGTAGTCCTCCTGAAATAGAGGTGCCACGCTGCTCCGGTCGGTGCCTAGTGGCAATGGTGTATGTGGTAATCAGACAGCAACTTCTGGGTGTTGGGCGCATTTGCAACCTAAGCAAAACCTGCGTTTCTTTACTGCAGTTACACTGTAGTAGCTTGAAATAGTATTTAAGTTAAGACTGCAAAGGAGAGGCCTAGTGTGGTCTGATGCTCAAGTTTTTCTGGCACTGCAGCAACAGGGAGCTCCAGTTTGCTCTGTACAGCAAAGATTATTTGCACTTCGTAACTGAATGACTTTGATTTTGCATTCTTGCAGTGCTTCCTGTTTTGTATTCACTTCTTCATGCATTAGCGAGGGAGAACTTTCTGACTTTTTCCTTTTAGATTGTTTAATTTTTAAGTGCTTCTCATTGCAATAGAAATGCATGATAAGGACTGGTCCTAGGACCAGTCCTCCAGGACCTCCCTGTCGTGATTTAATCCCATCTGGCCTCTAGGCCCCACACAGGTAGGTACTTGCTTGCTTGCTCACTCCCACCCAGTGGGATGTGCAGAGATTTGGAAGGGCAAAAGTGCAAAACCCACAGGTTGAGCTGAAGACAATTTAATGGGTAAAGCAAAAGCTGCGCACACAAAGAAGGCAAAATGACGAATTAGTTTACTGCTTCCCTTTCAGCCATCTCCAAGAGAGCAGGGCTCCATCACACGTAATAGTTACTTGGGAAGACAAAAGCCATCACTCCAAATGTCCTCCTTTTTTCCTTCTTTTGCAGCTTTTGTTGCTGCACACAACACCGGGTGGTATGGAATATCCCTTTGGTCATCTGGGGTTAGCTGTCTCAGCTGCATCCCCTCCCAGCTGCTTGTGCGCCCCAAGCCCGCTCGCTGGTGGGATGGTGTGAGAGGCAGAACAGGCCTTGATTCTGTGTAAGGACTGCTCAGCAGTAACTGAAATATGGGTGTGCTACAACACTGTCTTGATCACGAATCTGAAACATAGCATTGTGTGAGCTACTGTGAAGAAAATTACCCCTGCCAAAAGTAGCACAGACGTGTTCTTCAGGATGTCTCCCCAGTCTGATGATTGCTCTTGAACAACTTTCTCACTTCTTTTAACTGATTGGGTTTGCATCTTGCATTAATATCTCTATTCTTTTAGTTGAAACTTGTCCTTTATGACATAATACAAGGTCTTCCTATAGTCTTCTGTTTCCTGTGACTAGAAATACAGATATCAGACTAACTGGCATGGCATGGCTTTAGTAAACGCATGGTGCCTTTTATTCAACTCGTATCTTACATCTTTTATACTTAAACTTGTTTTGCATTGTGCTGTAAAGATGTTTTTCTTTCAAATTTTATCTTTAATGTTTATGTGTTACAGAGATCAGGTTACTGGATCTTTTGTTATCCAATACGTTTTTTCTTAAGTGAATATATAATTACTATTTATCAATTATGTAGGGACGGTTGCTGATTCAGCAGATTCAGATTTTTGTTTTAGTAATTTAATGAGTACTTCAGTGTAATTTAGTTGTGAGTTCCAGTACTAGACACCAATGCCATTCTGAAAGGGAAAATATTCCAAGGGAGCTGTTCATGTGGCTTGAAAAGTAGACCTTTGCCGTATAAGTAACAGGTTCATAAAATATTTTTCTCAATAGATGTGGAACATATCCAAGTGCACAAGCCCACAAATCCACAGCCTGCTGTTTTAAAGAAAAAATAGAGCAGTTATAGTTTTAAGAATTTAAGAACAGTTATACGTTAAGAAATTTAAGACTGTTCGTGATGGAAGTTGTTCACCTTGAATGTAGTGTACAAACCTCTTCAGTTTGCCAACACAGAAATGTGTGGGATGTGTCTAGGAAAGAGCTTCTTTGGAGAAGTGCTGGTTTGGAAAATGATGCACTTAAGAGGAGAGACGTGGGCTACTGGAGTGCTGTGGTGGGTTCCACAGGTCAGGTGGAGGGAGGACATAGTATCCAACGTAAAACTGCTGGGAGACTCTCAGGGGACATTTTAGTCCTGGAAGCAAGTAGAATCATAGGATGGTTTGGGTTGGAAGGGACCTTGGAGGTCATCTAGTTCCACCTCCCCTGACATAGGCAGGGACACTTCCCACTAGACCAGGTTGCTCAAAGCCTCATCCAGCCTGGCCTTGAACACCTCCAGGGATGGGGCATCCACAGCTTCCCTGGGCAACCTGTTCCAGTGTCTCACCGCCCTCACAGTGAAAGATTTATTCCTGATATCTGATCTAAATCTACCCTCTTTCAGTTTAAAGCCATTACCCCTTGTCCTGTCGCTAGGCTTACTGATAAAGAGTGCCTCCCCATCTCTTCAGTAGACCCCCTTCAGGTACTGGAAGGCTGCTGTAAGGTCTCCCTGGAGCCTTCTCTCCTTCAGGCTGAACAAGCCCAACTCTCTCAGCCTGTCCTTGTACAGGAGGTGTTCCAGCCGTCTGATCATTTTTGTGGCCCTCCTCTGGACTCACTCTAAGAGGTCCATGTCTTTCTTATGTTGGGGGCCCCCGAGCTGGACATAGTACTGCAGGTGGAGTCTCATGAGAGCAGAGTAGATGGGGAGACTCTGCTGGCCACACTTCTTCTGATGCAGCCCAGGATCCTGTTGGCTTTCTGGGCTGCAAGAAGCTCCTGTTAAGCTTCTCATCCACCAGCACCCCCAAGTCCTCCTCTTCAGGGCTGCTGTCAATCTATTCTCCACCCAGCCTGTATTTGTGCTTGGGGTTGCCCTGACCCGGGTGCAGGACCTTGCACTTGGCCTTGTTGAACTTTGTGAGTAGAAAAGTAGAAAAGGCGGAGGTGAGAGCTGCTCCGTTCTTGCCCCTGTCTGGTCATCCTGAATTCCACTGAATAGCTGTTTCTTAAAGTGTTTGGTTGCTTTTGAAGGCATGTAGCAACCAGAGAGGAGAGAGCAGGCCTAGGGATTTATTGCAGTGTAGGCAATATTAGCTTGTTGGAGGTTGTTTCTCTAGAGGATGCATTTTAGAGATTGGCCGCCTAGGTGTCTCTGAAGATTCAGGAAGAGTGGATTTGAGGAACATCACACAATTTGTTTGTTGTGTGGCCTGCAAGAAAAGTAAAGGCAAATGTTAAAATATCTTGCTTGTTTATCCTTCCAACCAAAGGCATTCCTTCATAGCTGCTCAAACCTGTATCTGTAGTGTCGGTTACTTTCCTTTGTTTTGTTTTCTAAATGGTGAATGGGTTTTGTTGATTATCAGGGAAATTAAAATTCTCTGAGCATTTTTTTTTTTTAATACGGTTTCTGCTAAATTGTATTTAGCTGTTCAGAAATCTGGTTTGGCACTGTGATTAAAAACTCCACAAAACCCAGGTGTTGTGAATGAAGAGTTTGTCTACTGTCTCTTTCTGAACAAAAACTGGAGGATGTTGAATGGAGCTTGCAAGGATCTCATTCAAAATACACAGACAAGCACCACGTAGTAAGGTTGCTGTGCTCCTTGCTGAGGGATGTCCTGTGTGCTAAAATATATGTGAACTTGCATCATGGGACAGATAATTCAGGAAAGTCTGCCAAGGCTGGTAAATACAAAGACATAATCTGCAGCATTTGCCTGAGTCACAGATAGCAGCTGGAGAGGATTTGGAAAAATTTCACTGTATGTGTATGCTTTTCTTATGTTCCTTAAAAGGCATTTGCTTCTGACTGTTTTTGAAGATGGCTAAGTGAACCATGGGTGTGGTTGTCCTTATGTACAGAAACAAGGCATAGTCCCAATATAAAATTAAAAGAACTCTTTATGACTGAGTTGTAGTTCTGCTGCAGTCATACTGTGAGCAACAGCCAGGGAGCCAAATGCTGGAGGAGTCTGCAGATTTAGGAAGATCGTAGTGGCTGGCAATTTTGCTTGCACTTTGAAAATTATTTCTGCATAAGGGATGGAAAAAATACTTAAATAGAAAGCTTTCCAGAGAAGCTAAAAGTTGTTACCTCTAAAAGGCTACTTCTGATGTGTTATATGTGAGCAGTAGAATAACAGCAGCCAGTTTTGCAGCTGAGGTTTTTTTGGAATTCACAGTTTACATATCATCTACTTGCAAATGTCTAAGAGGAATGTTCAAACTACTTGTTGAATATAGCTCTATTAAAATGTTTTAAATATATCACATTATGTGGGTTATTTTTTATAAAGTTTTATTGTGTTACAATCTTTGGTATTCTCAGATGAAAATAGAGAGCTTTCCAAAAAAGCTGGAGAGTGAGGCAGAAGGAATATATGAGGTTAGCATTGTTGGTCAGCTAGCTTGTAACAGTAAAATTAATTAATAGTAATTAATATTAGAAACTAATGTACCAGTTCTTATACCTAGTTTATGAGGAAGTATGAGCTACAGGCTGGTTCTGGTGTGGCTTCTTGTATACAACTGTATTTTTCTGTACCAGTGTATTTATACTGGTTGGCACATAACATATCTTGAAAGTAAAAGTTACGAATCTGTCACTGTAAAGTATTTCAGAATATTCTTCTAAATTTTACAGCAGTGACAAGGCTGATAGCTCAAATGATGCTGAAGAAGCCAGTAGACCTGCAGATATGCCTGCGCAGAGAAGGAAACGGATCTCTACCATGCCCAATCTTGTCAAACCCAGAGCTGGACCTTCATCTGCTCAGCGTTCTGCGTCAAAACCACAGAGGCGAGCATCACAGGCTTCTGATGGCAGTGCTTCACTTCAGAAGGATTCCTCTCCATCAGAAAAGAGTATTATTGAAAGCTCTTTAAGGTCTCCCATGCTGCCTGAAAAGAAAACGCCTGTGCCACAAGTGCCACAGTTTTCCCCACTAAAAAAATCGGTGAACAAAGAGCAAACTGTAGGTGTAGCTGCTCAAAAAAATGATGACACCTTGCAGAAGAATGTACCCTCCCTGCTCAAGGAGAGACCAACACAGGAAAGATCTGGTACACAGGAGGAAAAGCTGCTTACAAAACCTATTCCTGTAAAAGAGAAACGAATGTGTTCTGACCGTGAAAGGATCCTCAAAGCTCGGAAATTAAGAGAAATGCTTAAAGAAGAGCTGAAGAAAGAGCGGATGGTAGGCCTGTGTTGAGCAGCACTGATCTGTGAAGGGCAAAGACATGCAATTCACCTAACGTACATTATCTCTTTGCAGTAATGTTCTCTGGTGATCATCAGCTGCTTACTGCTGATACTCTGTGATATCTCATAACTCTGTATGGATTTCGCAGTGGATTTAGTAGTAAAACGGTGCTCCCTCATAATACAGAGTTCACAAGAAACCTTATATCTTTTAATTTGATTAGACCTACAGGCCTTTTAGACGTGAGATCTGCTAATAGTCAATGTTCCAATTTTAAAAGTTTCACATTTGTTAGTGAATTGGGGAAGTGTGCTGTAAGAAGCTTGGGATTTGGGGTTTCTCAAATCTTTTCAACTTGATTGTTGACTGAGTTCTGTGATTTTTAAATTATGTTTTACTTTTACTTGTGCCAAATATTGGGTTTCTCTGAGAGGGTAAGTCACTTAAGGGTTTGTGGCGTCCTCCCTGACAAAGGGACACTTTTAACATAAACTTATTTCAAGTTGTTGGGGGCGGAGGAGGAAAACAACAGAACTCCCTGAATGGGGTACTTCATAAACAAAGGAAAATATTAATTTATGGTATATAAAGTACTTTCAGCGTGAAATTAAGGTTTTTATTTTATTTCTTTTTATGTGGAAACAGTTGAAGCACAGGCCTCCAATAATTGAAGGACGTTCTCCACCAGATCGTTCTAAAATGACCATGAGAGACTTGATATACTATCTGCCAGAAAACAATCCTATGAAGTAAGTAGGACTTTTTTTCTTGCTCCTTAGGTTAACTGATTTTTATTTTTTCTACTAATTTAATAATTGTGAAAAGGAAAATTCTTAAATATGGAGTATTAGTAAGGATGCAATATTGTTGCAATGGTAACAAAAGCTTCTAGCCATTTTCACATCTACTCAGTCTTCATACAGAAATGAGAGTGGAGTTTAGTGTACTTGTTCAAAAATAAAAACGTGTACTTGTCCCCAGTCTTTATTTATCTCTGTACTAATGCAGAATAATAGAATTATGGTGTTTTTTTTTTTTTACTAGCTCCTGTTAAATTTTTAATTATCACTGCCTGCCAAATCTAGTGGACTACACGAAGCTAAGCATTTCTCCTTCCTGGCTGCTGAAGTGCAAAACACACTGCAGACCCAGGAGGTCTTTCCATTGCAGCTGGATCGAGGTAGCTGGATCAATGTAGCTGCTACTGTTCCCTTTACAGGTTTTGCCGGTAGCAAGGCTGAGTGGGCATCCCAGAGGTGCACATACCCAGGGAACACTAATGCAGCTGGCTGCACCAACTACCACAGACAGTGCAGGGCCTTTTTCCTGGAACTACAAAAAACAATCACACAAACATAAGTACAGCTATGCAAGTCCTGTGCTTCCTCTCCGTAGCAGATGAGTTTTCTGTCATTGTCTGTTCTCACCTACTTGTTAATTTGTGTACTTGCATGTTTTATTTATTTATCACTTTCCTTGCTATTTTTTTCTTTTGCACTGAATAGTTCTTAAGCAGGTAATGAAATAATTGTTCTCTCCTTCCCTATATACTTACAGTGGATTACTACGTGAGATATCTTTTTTTATCCTTGCTTATAGGAAAAAAAAAAAAGCAAAATTCATTAAGTGATGGTTGTTCAGTTAGACTCAAGTCTGGATGTCGTACAAAGAATTAAAAAAAAAATCTTTGTCTTTCTTTGTCCAATATCCACTAAAAGCAGATTTTGTGGAATGAAGCAGAAATGTATCTGTACAAACATTCATCGCTAACTTTTTGTAAAATTCTAGGTCTTCATTGGCAGAAGAAAAGAGAACAGAAAGAAATTCTGCACTGGGTCAAATGAAAGAGTAAGTCTTGTTGATGGAAATACTCAAAGTTGTGTGGTAATACTAACAGCATAGGTCTCTCTTTTCACTGTTTCGGTATAACAGCCCTTATTTGTAATGAACTGAATTTTTGGAGGGGAGGGTGATTAAAGAGCATTTTGCTTTCAATATTATGTTTTTGGATTTGTCCATTTTAAAATAGAATGAAAAGCAGATTCCAGAGTTTATGTGTTGACTAACTTACTGCTGGGTTGCATTGCTGAGTGGTTCGTTAAATTGTTGAAATCTAGCATACAGAGCAGCAATTCAAGACACTAACAAAAATAATATTTTTTACTTGGTCTCTTAAAATTGTAGACAAGAAGAGAAAAGTACTCCTAATCATGAAGAGGAAGATGAGGAGCAAGAAGCAGAGGATGGAGAGGAGAGTCAGGATGGTCCACTTCTAGTTCCTCGTGTGAAAGTAGCAGAGGATGGTTCAATTATTCTGGATGAAGAAAGGTAACAAATTCTGTGCCTGACTCACTGACAATATGTACTACATTGCTGCTTAGTTTCTGAACAGTGAACAGTTACTTTGGATGGGGCCACATGTGAGTGTGTTTGTGTTGATACCTGAGCTATCCTAGCTTAGGAAACAGTGCAAGTATGTGGCAAAATATGAACAGCAGTTGTCTGCATCTTGGTAGCGGCCAGTTTTCTCTATGAGAAATGTTTTTGGAGAAGGAGATAGAGGAAGATGTCATATTTTATTACAATGAATGAATACTGAATATTTGTCAAACTTCCAAATATCTTCTATTTAGTTAACTTCTTTGTTTCTCACAGTTGCATGTGTCTGCTTACTGTTATTCAGTTGCCAGTACGGTTTTCTCCAGGTTTGCATCTTCCATGTTGCTGTTCTATGCAGCCGTCGGTGTTTTCAGTAACTTTGCTTAGAATATGGCTTTTAAAAACTATTATGTTATCAAATCGTGGAGTTCCCCAAATGTATTATTAACATTAAATTTAGGCTGAGGTCTAAGGATGGAGCAGTCCTGGTAAAAGAATTTGAAAGTATTCTAAAAGGATATGGAGAGTCTTTTGTGGTTTTGCAAAGTAATTTTCTTGAATGTTAAAAAGACAATTTTTTTTTTTTTAAAGATCTTTAGTTGTGTCTGTACTGTATCTTATAAAAAGGGAAAAGCAAATTTACTTACACAGGCTGAGTAGGATAATGATTTCTTGCTGCATGCTTCCATTAAAATACATGTTAATGTAATTATTAAACCTGTTTATGCAGTACAAACTCTGAGTTGTGTCACGAAAAATCTGAATAACTAGCTTATAAACATCTACCGTGTGTCTTGTTAGCAGCGGTTTTGGGTAAGTCTCTGTGTTTACTTTTCCAGTTTGACTGTAGAAGTTCTAAGAACAAAAGGTCCATGTGTTGTAGAAGAAAATGATCCTATTTTTGAGCGTGGCTCTACAACTACGTATTCCAGCTTCAGGAAAAGTTTTTACACAAAACCATGGTCAAATAAGGGTGAGGATATTTTTGATTTCAAGTTTTGAGTCTGCAGAAAAATCTTAGTTTTCCATCTAGGCTTTGTAGTCAACAATTTTTTATTTCTACTGGAGCAAATGGATCTACTTACGTGTGACATGGTCCAAACTCTTAAAACAAGCAGAACTCTGATGTTGACTGTGAGAATTGGCATGTTTAAAAAAATCCAATGCTTTATGATATGCAGGCTACCTGTGAATTTTTTCTGTCATGGACATTTAGGTGCTGTGGAGATGCTAGTCTGCCTTACCAAAAGTGTAATTTTGGATTCTGATGTCCAGATAGTTGAGCTCTATATGGAACAACTAGAACTTCGTAACAGCTGCTTTACTTGGTTCTTCCAGCATGGTCAGGAATGAAATATATGAGGCATCTCTATGTGGTCTGGTGTCAGTGCACATGAACAACTATGTTTCTATGAGTGGGGTTTTTTTATTATGCCTGCTGCGAGTTGATTATTATCTCTAGGCTGCAACACTCTGCAAAGCTTTTTACAGTTGGAAATGTTTTTCTATGACTGTGGATGGAAAAATTAGCTTCAGAATTCACTGCACTGCTTTTGGAATGCACTCTTTTCCTGTTAACAAATGTTAATGGAGGTGGTATTTTTACACATGCTTTTTTCTGATTTCTGCTTGTGTTGTGTAATGAACATTGACATTCTGCAGTTTTGTAATAATTAGGCAGCTCTTTCTATAGAGGTACTTGAGTAAAATAACACACATACTCCGGCTCAGCTGAACTCAGCCATGATAGATAACCTTAAAGTTATCTGTCTCGTTGCGTCAAGTTTGAAGGGTAATTTTATTTTAGATAGTAAGAAAGATGGTTAACTAGATGTTTAAGTGTGTCTCTCTCTTTCCCTCCCCACCGCCCTCCAGAAACAGACATGTTCTTTTTAGCTATCAGTATGGTAGGAACAGACTTCTCCTTGATTGGACGGCTGTTTCCTCATAGAGCCAGAGCAGAAATTAAGGTAAAAATTAAAGCACTCAAGAAAGCAATTAAACGTCCATTTTTACGTTTTTGTTTCTCATTTGCTATTCCTGTGCTTGCTCTATTAGTATTGAAAATTTTTATGCTAGTTGGCTCTGTAGCAATGCTTTTTTAATACCTGTTTCCAAGAGGTAGTAAGTATTTAAAACATTAATATACTGGGTTGAATTCTAATCAACATATCTAATAAATCTTGCATACCTAAGCACAGTTTGTCTCCATTTTATTTTAACTGAGGAATGGTTATAAGCATAAGTGGATGCTTGGTGAGGGTCTTCCATGTTGCCTCTTTTGTGGTATCTATCTGGGAAAATATTTTGATATTTCAAAAGCTGCTTAGATTGGAAGTAAGGATAAAAATGTTGAAGACAGTAAATTATGACTAGTGGTATCTGTTTGTGACAGATTTTATACTTTAAAATTAGTTACAAACTTGTGTTCTGTAACTGTGCTCGTAAGTTTTAACAACTTTGTCAGAAAATTTTGTTTCATTGAAGAAGGCTTATCTTGATCTGCCATTTTGTACAATATATTGCTGCATTTCTTGCTTACTGAAAAAGACAAATATACCTTTGCTTTTAGAACAAGTTCAAACGTGAGGAAAAAGCTAATGGATGGAGGATAGACAAAGCTTTCAGTGAGTAGAGTAAATGTACCCCACCCTACAATGAGTAATTAAATGGTAGTCATCTTTTTTCATGGTAGTTTTTGTGCTTTGCCTTGCTTGAATTAATGATAAGAAAAATTTTTGCTCATAGGTGAGTTCACCAGAGGCAATGTAGGCCCACTGAT